TGTGAATGTAGCAAGAAATTTATCGCGCAGTATTGTGACTTCGACCCCCACCTCGCTTCCGTGGAAGAAATCGTTATGTTATAAGTTGTGTCATGCAAAATCCTTTTGGTTATGATTCCAATACATATTTAACTACGAGTAGAAAGTAGTTTTGATTTTCTAACTTGATGAAAACAAACTATAATCTCATTAATTCTAACAGACTTTACGATTTTCAAAAATGGCGGCGCCCTGTCGGGAACATCCGCCAGTCTGTGGATAAATGCTATTTAGGTTTGTTTTCACCGAGTTACAAAATCAAAACTACTTTCTACTGGTAGTAAAATATGTATTTTATTGATGACCAATAGGATTTTGCATGACATAGCGTATAACATAACAATGTCTCTCCTGGCAGCGAGGTGGGTGTCAATATAATACTACTTACAATATTATTGTTACTTCGACCACAACCTCACTTCCCAGGAAGAAATCGTTATGTTACAAGTTGTGTTATGGAAAATCTTTATGGTCATCAATCATATACATATTTTACTATACCTAGTAAGTAGTTTTGATTCTTTAACTTCCGTGAAGCGATCTGAACACAAGTAAGATATCGTTTCAGGCTTCCACAACGCTCGAATCGCACTCACAAACATAACCCATTTAGCACGAACTGCGGGGTCCTGTGGAAATCTGTGCATGGTGACACCATCACCCGACCCCTAGGAGCAATTGACGACAAAGCAACGATTCGGCATGTCGTCGTTCAGGTCGAGAAATCATTAAAATGATGAGCGTGCTACACACTTTCTATACAACTAACTGAAAATCGTTCCTCATATGACGTCACTGCAGTGCTCTGGCGACAGAGTTACGTAACCTGTCTGTGGTTTCGTTGGCGGGCGAGAGGGAAGCAGGCGACTTTTTGGCCACTTTTAATCGCTCGGTATTAATTAACCACAAGTTTTTAAAGAATAAATTTGGTGTTCCGCATAAGACTAACCACTAATCTTTCATATGTAATGGTTAAAAGAGTAACAAAAAACAAAGTTTAGTGGTTCTTTAACGTATAACACTGCTGCCCCTCACTTAATCTACAGGTACATCAGGTGAAACACTGTTGCTTAACGTATAACACTGCTGCCCCTCACTTAATCTACAGGTACATCAGGTGAAACACTGTTGCTTAACGTATAACACGACAACAACGTACATACTGGTCATTTCAGTCATACCATGAGTAAGAAATACGTCTTACATTCACTGAACACGTTGGACAGAGTCAGCTTTGTTGAAGGCTGAACTTCATAAATGTTACACCACGCTCTACTGTAATGGATCGATTTCCTGTAATTGTCGTGTTCACATCTCAACAATGTATTGGAACCTAAACCTATTAACGTTCTGTACCGTCTTTATCAGTTTAAGACGTTATTCTTAAACTCACGCGGTCGTGGTGGTTTCAATATGTCAGGGAACTGGGAGTTTGGCGACAGGTGATGCTTGGGTCCTTTTTAAACCAGACCCTGAACTCATGTTTTTACTTAGATCGGGAAAATACCGAGACCGACTGACCGGTTAAAGTACTGTCGGAAATGCTAAAAAAAATGCTTTTTGACTTATATTTAAATTTCAGAGGTATTACAGTTACTTATAAATAACAAATATCACTGTAAGAAACATCTACCTAATGTAGACCGAGGGAATAAATTTTGAGACATGCCCTAAAATGTTTTTTTACTGATGAAAATACCAAAAAACTTAGAGGTGAGGTGAGGTGAAATTGGGTTTTACGTCGCGCTGGAGAATATTTCGCTCATATGACAACGTGCATGCGTGTGTATGTGTATGTGCGGCTGCTTGTACTAGCCCAGACTGAAGCTGGTTTTATAGTGCTAGCCCACTGAGATACCATGCCGCAGTGAAGCATGAATACCCCATTCAGACACGTTATACTGACTCCGAGCCGACCAGTCCTTGTTGTACCCATTAATGCCGAGCGCCAGGCAGGGACCAACAAGTACCATATTTTAACGTCGTTTGGTATGACGCGGTCGGGGATCGAACCCGCGACCTTTCGCTCTCCGGGCAGACGCTCTAACCACTACACCACTGAGGCGGTCTAAAGCTTAGAAAAATAAGGGGTAGTGGGACGTTGTTTGATACAAACATTACAACTGCCTGTGTTATGTCATCAGCATGCACGATATCGATAGGTGAAACTGACACCTGAGCACACGCTCGGACGAGGGGTCATCTCAATAGATGTTTTCTTCAAAATGTTGAATATGTGTACGTATAGTATACGTATTGGTTATGTAAGGGATCATTTGTGTATGTGTGTTTGTTTTGAAATGAACATACGAATTACTGTACATTGGAAAGAATCCTATCACTTGTGTTATCTTATCGATTGATTGTAGAAATGTGCAACGTTTTAATAGTTTTTTTGCATGTCAACAGTATATTTCATTGCAAAAATATGGATGTAATTCGGTCAGTTTAATCTAGTTGTGGTCATTGGCCAAAGATTTAACGAAGTCTCTAGAATATATATTTTCTTCTTCTCATAAAGTTTGTAGACCGCCCGTCTAAGCACTCCCTTGTCAAAGTTGTCAAGGATGGTTTTACGTCCCGGTTTTTCTTTGAGTGGCATTTTAGAAGTTGGGAAGTACAATATAGAACAAACTTTATGGATAACAACTTATTTTCATTCGTGAGTGCGACGTTTCGATACAGATTCTTGTACCGTTGTCAAGCATAATGGAACATGAAGAAGGGGGAAGTATATATATACTGGATGTAACAATGTTACAAAGAAAACAACATAATTAGCCAATTATGTTAATTATGTTGTTTTCTTTGTTACATTGTTAAGAAAACAACATAATTAGCCAATTATGTTTATTATGTGGTTTTCTTTGTTACATTGTTACATCCAGTATATATATATTTCCCCCTTCTTCATGTTCCATTATGCTTGACAACGGAACAAGAATCTGTATCGAAACGTCGCACTCACGAATAAAAAGAAGTTGTTATCCATAAAGATGTTCTATATTGTCCCGGTTTTGCTTTTGAGACGGTCCCTGTCTTGTCTGATCTGTTTATAATATTGTAAACTTGTTGGTAAGACATACCAACAGCTCTACAAGTTCTGTAATAAACCCTTTCTAAACTAATGAAAGGTTTACCTCTGTTTTTTTCAAGCACAAAAAACTTATAAACCTTCGCAACAATCGACTGCAAATCGTTGGCCATAGTGAACGCTGTGATAAAGATGTGCATGCATGACGGGAAACTTAGTTATCAAGACTTAACATTTATATTAATATTTCTTCAATAAAGAAACGATAATTAAGTAAAGTAACACAAACATTCAACATTTATTTGTTAAAGAAAAACGTTAATTCATATTTTTACACCACCTGTATTATTAGCATAAATGTAAAGACTATTTCAGATTTCTGTGGTTGAAAAATCTTAAGTAGTTGTTTTGTTACCAAATTCTCTCCTGTAAACTGCCCTTTAAATGCATGGGACTGTTAAATCGATTGAAATAAAAATTAGGTACACTATAGGCGAGTTGATATATTGACAACATAGTACATTTATCACCTTTATAAAGCTATTAAGGCTAAAAAGCATTTTTCTAGCATTTCCGACAGTACTTTAGTTATCCCTGCTATATCATGACTCTCACGATTGATGTGTTCTATATATGTTAATTTATTACATGGCAACGACAGCATTTAAGGTATCACGAAAGTAACCACGCTTTCATCCCCTAAATACTGACTTAACTGTTTAAATTTTCTGAGGTTTTGAGGGTGCATTTCACCTTACAGAAATTGTGATCAACCTTACACCGTACAGTCGCTAAGAGGTACCAACCGACTGGCAACCAACTGGCAACATAAAGGACCCAACATGTTCTGGATGTCAAGATAACTATATAGTTCTGCACGACAGCCGCAGCAACCCTGGCTTCCGCCCTGTTAGTGCAAGGATAGTGAGGAATCGACTGCAAGAGCATATCAACAGACCACGACGTCCAAGCTATACGTCCAATGTCATGGAGCTGCATAACATGATCAAAACAACATATGAGGTTCAGGTTGGTTTGCCCTCTTCACAGATGAGTTCAAGGCTTCTCAACAGAGATTGGCGTCGGCGTGTTTATCGACATTGGTTGCAACGCAAAAGCAAATCTTTCGGCATACATTTGCATATTAAACTAACTGACAGTCATTTTCAGTTACTTTCAATATATGCAATACATTCAGATAACAACAACAAATATTTCATAACTTTCATCATTTTTCTTTTCAACTATATCTGATATTATTATCAGGGTGCTGTTGCACAGAAAAACCTTAGCGCTAAGTCTATCGTAAGTCTATGTTGAGGTATGGGACTTACGATCTCCTTTCCGCAAAGGTTGCTTTGTACAACGGCACGCAGATGTTTTGTTGCGAATGTTACCTCTACACCTCCCATAAAAATCCACGAAAAAGAATGAAAAAAGTCAACGCTTCCACGACAAATACCAGTCAATATGCAATGGAATCGCGTCATGTATAGACCATAAGTCCGCCCGTCAGCTTCCGTTTCAGAATCCAAAGTCTGCGTGCCGTTATGTAACATACAAAACGGTACTGAGTATTTGTGCATGTAACGAATGGTACACATGTTTGTGGGTCCAGTTTGTTGCTAAGGAAACAGCCAAAACCTATCAGTCACGCGCACGTGTGTTAGTGGCTGGGGAGGTGGGGTGCACGTGTCGTGCATGCGTGTGAGCGTGCGAGGTCTTTAAATCCCGCTATAGTAACATGTCTTTTTGTATGAAGTGACTAGGCTAGCTAGCCACCGACCTGTCTTGGCAGACATAAAATAAATCAGTTGACCAGTATTGGAAAATAACACAATTCAATTCTCAGTGTGCCGCACAGGATAAAACGCGCACAGGTGTGAATATCTGCTTTGATGCAAGAGTTATCTCCCTGTAACCTGCCGCCCGATAAGTCGGGGTAATATCTACCCTTTCAGGACACCTGTTTCTGTTGCTCGTCCGGTTGTGTGGAAGGGACCATATAGTACGCAGGTTGTATGCCACACCAGGTAAGGGTATGAAGGGAACTGGGCAAGTAAATATGGCATCCAAAATACCACATGTCAGAGTAAATAAGTTCAGACTGCAACATAAGGAACCTGTTAAAAATTGATATCTGTTTCAACCCAACACTTGGTAAATGAATATGATGTAACTCGCAGGACCTGGGGGTGGGTGTCACGGTGTTATCGCAGTAAATAGTTACACATTTATCAATGCATGTCCCCATATCGAGGTCAATTGTTTAACAAACTTGAACAAAGGAAAGTCTTATGTTTGCAATCACAATCAACGAGCTAAACCGAAAGCGAAAGTAGGCATTTTATGTGCGCATTATGCGACCCATTTTAGAATTGAGGCATGGGGGGTAATGTTAGAACTGGAGATATGTGGGAAAAATGCTATCATCCCCAACCTTACCATTCTTCGTTCTATATATCATTCTTTAATTGCCCCCCCGACCCCACCCCCCGACAGATGTAGTGATGATTCTTGTGGAAGGTGGTGGTAAGGTTGATGGTAATGATGGCTTCCACAGATGTAGAGATGATTCTAAATAAATAAGATGATTCTTTGTGAAGGTAAGTAAATAAATAAAGGTGATGGCATTTTGTGGGTTGATGACTGCCTCTCTCTTTGAATCAACTAAAGGTGGTAATGTTAAGGATGTAGAGATAGAAGTGGTGGTAGGGTTGATGGTAATGAAAGATGTAGAGATGATTCATGGAGATAGGGTAAAGAAAGAAAGTCACAGATAAGATGATTCATGTTTAGGTAATGAACAGATGTAGTGCATGTAGTGATGATTCTTGTGAAGGTGGTGGTAGGGTTGATGGTAGTTATGTAGAGATGATTCTTGTGAAGCAATGTATATATGCTTGTGAAGGTACTTTGATGGCTCCTGACAGATGTGTGATGATATCTTTTTGTTCTGATGATGTCAGCGATGATTGTGAAGACTGCAGGGGTGATGATTATGAAGTGGTGTTGGTTATGGCTGTGACAGTGGCTGATTTGATCTCCAAAAAGAAATAATAAAAACAAATAAAATGCCAAGAAAAGCTGAGACATAAACACAAACTATGCTAGACATCAGAGACGATTAGTGTGGGAAGCAACAGACAACCAACGTTTGTTTTATATTAACTAAACCAAATTCTAGGGTTATGGTGTCGTGGGAAATATCAATTCAATACCAGTCCTTGTGAGATGCTCCATTTAACTGCTTCAGTAGAATAGCTTCATGAATCCATGAATCAATGGTTTTATATAAACAGACCATATTGGTGTCCTTACTCGTACATCGTATTAATTGATCAAATCGCCCCTTCCTATTTAAGTCACATTCAAGGACACTTTTACTTAAACATCTCTAAGTATGCAGTTTTCTTCTTTTAGCCCAGTGTGATAGTCATTATATCATTGGAAATACTACTGATTTGGAATTGAATGTATTTTGGGTAGACACTTTTCCTCTTTAAAAGAACTGGAGTATACTCTTGTTAATGGAACTTCTAAATCCAACATCACAACTGATGTTAGACAACTCAGTTCTGAGATGGCTGTGGGCATCCACTTTTTTGTATTGATGTGGTAAAAATGTGACATTTTTACAACCAGGAATCCTCGCAGAAGGTCTAGTGCCACAGCACATGGACGATCAAACAGCAGGTCTTACGGTAAATATATTTAAAGTTTATTTTATATATTTTTTGGGGCTAACAGAAAAGGAGCATTTTTGTTTTTGAGAGTTTCTGGACTAAACAAAAGGCTGAACAATATTGAAAATCATAAATTGATTTACTTTGTGATGAACACATCAGTTATTATTGTTGAACAGTAATTTGCAGAAACTAACTGCCTTGAGAGAATTGTCCCCAGATTATCATCGATTTGAACATACTTTACGGACTTATTTAGTGAAGAACTGAAGAATTCTGATTTTCTCTTGTGACATTTGAGAGGTCACCCTATAATTACATGTCGTTTATAATATTTAGCATGGCATTTTAGCTATTGCCAATAACCATGTTTCAGATATCCAAAATGAAACTAACAGTAAATATAACTGCAAGTAGCAATGATGGCTCTGTAGGCTTTAGACCATTTAGACCCATTATGCAGTAAGTTCTTTTCAGAACTTGCTCTCTTTGCCCAAATCGCTCCAAACCAATTTCTGCTTTCAGTGTATAATTATCCCCCGCAACGCGTTCAGTGTATACTTATCTCCCGCAACGCGTTTTGCGGGGGGTATTAAAATGGACTCCGTGCGTGCGTGCGTGCGTGCGTCCGTCCGTCCGTCCGTGCGCATTTGCCTTTTCCGGAGCAGAACTCTAAAACCTCAATATTTCTTCACCAAACTTGGCACATAGATAGATCTGGTGGTGTACTGGTGCCTTTTGGTAGATTTGGATTTCTGAATAAAACATTTTTGGCGTTTCCATGGCAACAAGTTTTGACTTAGCCTGAAATTGATGGTAGTACACTTTTCCGGAGCTGAACTCTAAAACCGTTCACTATTTCTTCACCAAACTTGGCACATAGATAGATCTGGTGGTGTACTGGTGCCTTTTGGTAGATTTGGATTTCTGAATAAAACATTTTTGGCGTTTCCATGGCAACAAAATGGACTTAGAATGAAAATAGTGGTAGTGCTCTTTTCCGGAGCAGAACTCAAAAAACGTTCACTATTTCTTCACCAAACTTGGCACATAGATAGATCTGGTGGTGTACTGGTGCCTTTTGGTAGTTTTGGAATTCTTAATAAAATATTTTTGGCATTTCCATGGCAAGAAGTTTTACTTAGCCTGAAATTGGTGGTAGTGCTCTTTTCCGGAGCTGAACTCTAAAACCGTTCATTATTTCTTCACCAAACTTGACACATAGTTTGGTCTGGTGGTGTACTGGTTTCTTTTTGGTAGTTTTGGAATTCTGAATATAATATTTTTGGCATTTCCATGGCAACAAGTTTGACTAAAACAGAAATTGGTGGTAGTGCTCTTTTCCGGAGCAGAACTCTAAAACCGTTTAATGTTTCTTCACCAAACTTGGCACATACATAGATCTTGTGGTGTACTGGTGCCCTTTGGTAGTTTTGGATTTCTGAATAAAATATTTTGGCATTTCCATGGCAACAAGTTTGACATAGACTGAAATTGGTGATAGTGCTCCTTTCTGGAGCGGAACTTTAAAAACCTTTAAATACTCTCCTTCCCCTTTTCTATATACACACCTAAAATTTTGACATAATCATAACTCGTAGACATAATCATGAAGAGTATTTTGCCATGGCGGGGGATATTGATGACTTTGTCTTCTTGTTTTTACTGTGTTACAACATGATATCTACATGTCACATTATTCTTAAAAAAGATGGCACTCTTAGTATTGATTACAGAACTTCCAGTGGTGGGAAATGCTTCTTCCCTTTACTATACAATGGTATTCTCATCCTAGCTTAGGTACAAAGTGTTCTGTATTCTGGCTTGAATGATATAACTTGCTGTTTTCGAAACAGCTGTTGAGCTTATTAAAACATCAAAAGAAATGGTATGATTGTTGTAGGTTACATTGTGACATAGTTATTAGTTCCAGCTGTGTATTGGCTTATTTATGCTGCTTATCCAACTTTTCAAGTGGAAGTCTTATAAGCTTAGATCACAAAACCTAGATGAATAAGTACAAGATGCATTGAAATTTAAACACTGTCTTTAACAACAAAACCATAAGTTTACAATAATGGAATTTCAAGTTTAAATACAGAAATTTCCAAGAACATTAGTTTATGCTACATCAGATTATCATTGAGTTAAACATACTTAATTGACTTATTTAATATATTTTTGTTGGATGCCTTATATCTGTGTCGAAACATTTCTTTGCCTGTATTCACATGGCAGATGAACTACTGTAAAATTAATCTAAAACATTCATGCCAGTTATACTTTAACATTCATTATGAGTCAGTCGAACTGAAATAGTTAATTGATATTGTGTTCGAAATAATTGTTCAGCAGAAATATACATGCCTCACACAATAATATCATTTAAGGTTTCTACACTCAAGGATGACAGCTGGATTTTGTCAAGGGAGGTAATTCTTTACCATTTTTTAAACGTATGACATTTGGTGCAAATTCAACAGCCACTGTCAGCAGCTGTTACTGGAGCCCCGATGACCCTACATCACTGCCTAGAAGCCCAATTTCATAAATCATACCAACACCCCACAATTTCTTTCGCTAGTTCGCTCGGACCTTAGCTATCATACAGACACACACGTCACATTACACAGGCTATTAAACAATTTTCTGTGTGAAAACATCGTAAAGAATAAGTCTTTTTGGAGACAACTTAGGCCAAGAAGTAGCATTCATAATCTCAGCCAGCAAGAGACATAGCCACATTTGTTAAGGAAGCTTTGTGGGAAGGTGAAGCGAGACAAAGTATTCATAGAGTGGAAACTATAGCTGTGATTGTTTCAGAGGAGGAGATTTTGGCAGTCAAGTTCTATGAAATGTGCTAAAGTGCAAGGTCAAAACTGCCAAACCGTACCTTATAGCGACTGTAGTCCTTCAGTCCATAATTAAAGGGCATCCCATCAGGCATACATGCAAGAAATTTGGAAGTCATTAGATGAGTAGTTGCACAGATTATTGCTTTTACACATTTGTGTATTGATTTTGAATCATCTGTCCTAATTTTTGGTCCTTAAACCCAGAACCTTGACACGTTTGCAGTAACAACCTCAGCACCTTGGACACATTTGTGAATGTTTTTGTCAGATTCTACACTCTGGTGATTGAGTTATGATTTATGCAAAATACGGAGGAATGATAAATACTATTAATCCGAACGATTACAATAGGCCTTGAGCCCAGCTGGCATTGAACCCTGAACACTCAGGGAAGACCAAATCATTAATCAATCATTGTGCACATGAAATGCTGTGAGTTCAGTACTAGAAAGCAGTTTGTAGTTAGTCAGTGGTTACAGATGGGTTAAGCTTTAATAATAATCACGTACATGCGTGTAACTGGTAAAAGAGATGATCAAAGCTAGACTGACATTTAGTGCCAGAAATTGCGTTATCTTGTTTAAAGGTATATGTTAAACAAAATAAACAAATAATGCATATAATTAATTTCTCAACATTCTTGACTTGAGTAGGATTCATAAATAATTTATTCACTAGAGAAACAGACCAAATCAATGATTAAGTCACTTTATATACAGCTGTGGCGGTCCCGGTACCGTTCACAGGTGATTAATTAGATTACCGTACACATTCAAGTCAAGTGTTTACTTAGTGAAAACAGAACTCAGACTATGCAAGTCAGTTTTATTCAAATGCAAGACATAAAAGTAACAAAGAGTTATAATATAACATTTCTAGATTGATATAAACTTAACACTTGAATGATAGAACATTAATAGAACATATGACGATCATAATACAATATATAAAATAAGCTGGACACACAACGCTATTTATAGTCAAATAATTCATCAATATATTGCACTTAAAAACACAAGGTGATGACGAAGTTGACAAGGTGATACTTTGCTAGAGCATTGTTTGTAGAAAATAAACATTTGAAATGTATCATATCACCATTAGTCAAACTCTAGAGGTGTTGCAATATTGTTTAACAATGATAAAGAGATTGATGTTCATAAATACAAGGAAGATGAGAATGGCAATTTTATCATTGTTGACACAAGTATTGACGGCATAAGACTACCCTTAGCCACTATTTACGGCCCTAACAAAGATGTGCCTAACTTTTATAGAGATTTATTTTTACCAAATTGATGCATTCGACAACGAATCTATTGTTCTCTGTGGAGATTGGAATGTGGTACTTGACCCAACTATGGATCTTGAGAACTACAAACATATTAATAACCCTAACGCAGGAAGTGTAATTTTGGAAAAAATAGACCAGTTTATAGATCTGGCATGATCTTAATAGTGATACGAGAAAGTATACTTGGTGGAAAAAAACCCCTAGACAGCAAGCCAGGCTCGACTTTTTTGGGGTCTCCCACGATGTTGGTAATACGACCGTAGACACTGAAATCCTCCCTGGCTATAAATCTTACTATTCTACTATAACACTTACTTTTTCAAATAATACTAATACAAGAGGAAAAGGTTATTGGAAATTTAACACCTCTTTATTGCGGGATAAAGAATACATAAAAATAGGACTGAGATAGACTTAGCTAAACAGCAATATGCTCTTCGCAGTCACACTGAGGATATAAAGAATATTGATGATAATGACCTACCCGGTAGTCTTAAGTATTGATGACTGTCTTTTTCTGGAAACTTTGTTGATGAACATTAGAGGTAAATCGATATCATACAGCACCCACATTAAGAAACTAAAAAAAGAAAAAGCTAACGATCTGGAAGCTAAAATAACCGATATTGAAGGCACAGTTCGTAGTAATGGATACTCTCTCTCTTTTTTACCAAATTTCAGGATTGAAAATTAATGTTGATAAAACCAAAGCAATATGGTTAGGGGCTATGATTAATAGTAAATATATTATTTGTAGTGAATATATTTTGGATTGGGCTTCTGGTAACTTTGTGGTCTTGGGTGTTAAATGTTAATTTGAACGATCTCTGGGTTATCAACACTAGAAAAGAATGACTTTGATATCGAAC